ATTAAATAGCCGCTTACGCTTATTTAACAAAATATATTGCAAAATAGTTATCCCAGTTTGACTAAATTGGTCATTTACAAACCCTCATAGCTTGCATGCAAAAAAAGATCAAAGAAAAAAATTGTTTCGTTTTTCATCCTATCAGTTATCAATAGCTATCAGAATTTTAAAAATTCTTCAAAAATACGATTTAAAAAGTCAAAATTTATGTCGGAAAAAATAGCCCGAGCGTTTTAATTTTCTTTGAAAGTCGGAACCAAAAATAAATGACTGCACCCAATTACCTATATCAATCTTTGACAATTTTGTGTTAAAAATTCAAACACTCCTGAAGGTTGATTTATCTTAACAATGAAAAGTCACTCGTATTTTTGGTACCGAATTAACAATCACTGAATTGAGTTTTGGAACATTTTGTTCTTCAGTTTCAGTTTTCGTGTCTTCCAGTTTTCAATGGGACGTAACAATCTTCTTAGCTTAAATCAGAAATCACAAGAATCGGTACCCTTGAAAGTTATCAACAGAATACGAGCGGATTTACGAAAGCTGAAAACATAACAGGGTTTCCGAAATCAAAATTTTCCCGTGTGGAACATCTACGCAAACTATATTTATATCGAATTTGTGATAGATAAACGTTACCTTCGTTGCGTAGACATTTTAGTGGCAATTACTGTGTTTTTCATCTTTCATAACGTTTTTAACTGCAACACCTGGTATGGGTCAATTTTTGCTTTGTGGATAATTTTAGTTTGGTAGATATTTCATATGAGAAAATTTTGGTTCCCGAAATCCTGTAAATTTTCCAGCTCTAGTAAGCCAGCTCGTGTTCTGTTGATAATTTTTCAAGGTACCAACTCTTCGTAATTTCTGACCACATTTTTTTGGTCGATAACTTTATCTTATTAGTAGATTTTAAAAAAAAATCTTTTTTTTTCCGCAAGCTTCTACAAACATTTTAGGGTCAAGGACTTAGCTACAAAAATCACTAACACAAGATGTGCCTGGGAAATCCGGACGAGCTAATTTTTGTGCTCTGTTGTATAAAAATATGGGTTTGGCGCCGTCGTGTATTTTTGTACGAACCTTTTATACAGTCGATATGCCATAAAAATATTATACGGAAGGACTATGGGTTTGCTCCTTTTTCAAGTAAATCAAGAAGATGTATGAGCCATATTTGAGTCACAAGTACATCAAGGAGTTTGCGACATCATATTAGTCGTGATTGGATTCCAAAAGAACTAAGTTGCTATGTCGACAAAAATTGGTCCACAATTTTCCGTTTTTCAGACTAAGATAGAAAAAAATTTAAAAATTGACATCTTCAATTTTTGTTGAGGCAATTTTTAAGTTAATCAAAAAAATTAATCTCAATCTTTCAATTTTTCACCCAAAATTGAATTTTTTTTGTCTCTCAAACAATGTGGGCGAAGCATTTACTGCCACTTGAACCACAAAAATTGCCTTTTTTCAAAAAAAATGATCGTTGGCTTAAATTAAATCAAGTCGCTATCAGTTATATTGGTTAATCAGCAGGGTTTTCTACATTTTTAAAAAAATTTATATGAACTACTTGTGAAATTAAATTCACTCTAATATTGCTATGAAAATTGTCTCTTTTCTAGAGGCTGGGTTTAATCAGTTTTAAATAGTTGTTTTCAATTTTTTGCAAATTGTGGTACATTGTTAGATAACGCTTCAACTGAAACAATTTTGTTGAGAAGATGCGTTTAAATCTAGCCGGCGACGCCGAGTTACTATTTGCCACTTTTTTTTTGAAGTTTTCAATTATGCTCAGTTTAACTCACAAGCATCAGATTGGATATTTCCTAATATTTCTATCTAATTCTTGATTACAAGATTTTGTATATTTTGGCGAAAACTAAATTAGATGATGATAAAGTAGATGATGAGTTTTTAGATAGAGCTAATATAGTGCCATGTCTAGCTCACCTTATGACATCGACAAGTAGTGGAAGCGTGTCCCAATTTTCATAGCTGTGACTACAACCCACACGAGCTTTGTAGTTTTTGTGAATCAAAGTGTGTTATTTCGTCGCCCAATAATCAATATTTGCTTTCGCTTCATAGTTTTCTTATAGAAAATTATGGAAGGCAAAAATTTTTTTGGTTATTGCCTTTGATTCACTATTATTATCCAGCTTGTGCGGACGAAATATACAGCAATGCATTGATAGTTGTTTTTACCAGTTATATCTATGGGATGCCGCTACTTATGGGTTACTTATGGAACGATTATGGTATGCCGAAAAACAATTGTCCTAAAAGTAGCAGCATTCTTCCAGTGTTTTGAGCTGTTACCTAGCTCAAAGCTTTTGCGCTTGGAAAGATCTTAAGTCCTAAGACGCGGAGCAGAGTTGAAGAAAAACTGCGTGACCTAACATAATGTTTCAAAAAATGTTTTGTTTCGTTGATAAATCAGTTCTGAAAAGTGTCTTTCTACTTGGCATTGAATTTTTCTCAAATTCTAACCGCTCTGACTATGGAAAAACAGGCTGACGATTTTCCTGACTATGTCCTAGAATTTGTTTTTTGAATTTCAGTGCAGCTCAAATACCGGTTAAATGAACTTATCAGACGCATTTTTTGTTTCTGATTATAAAAACTAAAACACAAATATCACACACTCGAGCTACAAGTTTCTTCCCACACACTCGAGCTACAAGTCTCATAAGAGTGTTAAAGAGAGCCACTATAAAAAGATAACAAAAAAACTCCAAATATCCATTGAACTCCTATGCGGTTGTTTTTTCAATCATATTCGTAACTTTGCTTTTTTTTGAAGCAGATGAACATTTCGCGGCTAAAAACCTTGATATTTTCAGCGTACGAAATTTCGAAAAATTGAATCGTTCTTTTGGTAGAATTTTATTGAATGTACACCTATTTAAACCCTCCTTTGAACCCTTTTCTCAAAATCATTTTTTAATTATATTTTTTTTTGTTTTCTGGATTTTGTTTTCCTCCCATAACATAAAAACCACTAGAAAAAGATCTTAATTCGTAATTTTTATCCAGAAATGCCACTCATAAATTTTTCTCAAAATCAAAGAGCTTCAACTTTTTTTAAGAATTTTAGAAGTGATCATTTCTTTTACACTTTTTTAAGTACCTGCTGGCTATATTAATTTAGAGGTGTACAGATCTTCTTAAAACATTAATAATATGTACGTGTTTTTTAGTGAATGAAATGTTTTAAAAAGTAGTCCAAAAGTGCATATAATACATTTTAAAATTATCTGAACCGGTGTATAGTGTTTTTAAGAATAATCATGTTGTAGTTACTAAAAAGAGGCAAGCATGCCGTGTTTATTTGGTTCATGTTTGCCAAACTAAATTTCAACATTGCTCCTTTGCAGAAAGTTTTGTTCTTTAGACTTGGTTAAAGGGTTGAGATCTAATACGCGGAGACTTCAGGACGCGTTATTAGCTGAGTACAAAAGGTCGTTTCGATCTTCATGTTTTGATGTAAGAATTTTTAAAACATTTTTTGTAATCAGTCCAACAAAACTGTTGAACTTATTTAGCAGCTTCCAAAAATTGCTTTTTTAATTTAAATTTCTCCAACTTTTGGTAATAAAAACGCTGAAAATAGCAAATAAGCTAATTTTTAAGAAGAGAAACTATCGCATAAAAAGTTCTTAGAAATCTGAACCGGACAACACAAGGCGCAAAAAAGTCGCTGAGAATTGAAGCTCTTGAAAGCTTTCTTTTTGGTTTTGATTGGTAGCGAGTAGCTAAATGTACACAAAAAAATATGTTTCTAGAACAGAAAACGCATCAAGGTTGGGCCGTGTAATAAGGGAAAACAAAATTTTCAAGAACGTGGATATTTTGATAAGATTGTAAAAAAATTTGTCATAAACTCATCAATGTTCCTATGATCCACGGTACATACGAGTTGAACTTGCTACCAAAAACTTCTTCTCCTATTTTTCATATATTGAGTGTGTAAAACATGTTTATCATAGAATTGTTATACAAATTTCAAAAAAATGTTCAAAGACTTAAAATATATTTTCTTGATATCGACGGTTTGAAACCTTCTGATCACCAGAAAAATTATTTGATTACTTGCATGGCAAATTTCATATGATACAATTTTATGTAATAAAATTGAAAGATACGCATTTTTTCATGATAAAAACTCCAAAATTGGGGCAAACATTTTTTCGTTTTTTTTAATGAGAAATTCATTTCTGTGCTCGAACAAGAAGTTTACGGAAAATGCAAAATTTTATTTCGTGGTCTATAAAACAGTTCAGGTTGATTTTGTTTCACCTAATATATCCAAAATTCACAACGAAGTTTTTTCATATTGCCGGAAAAAAATTTCACTTTTTATATGTTGAGATAAATCTACAAAAACAGGCCACTACTGCCAAGCACTGATTTCTTCAAGTTACAAATTTTAAAACCATATTCAAAATATTACGTTTATCGTAGCTAACTCTCTGTGAAATTTATGCACTTTATCTGTGTGATTGTTTCCCTTTCTTGTATGAAAAAATTCTTATTATTGTGATTTCGGGCAAAACGCAAAATTTCAAAGTGCAACTCAAAATTTGTTTTGAGTTTTCAATAATGGAGAAATGCTAGTCATAAGAATTTCCTGTCTGAAAAGACTGCTCATCATCGCTCTTCAGCTCATGAGCACTCCTCAACTTAAAGTACGTGCGATTTTGTAGGAAATGTGATAAAAAGCTTACGTCAACCCTGGCAATGAATATCTTGAAAAGATTGTGGATCCCAAACTTCGGCAAATAGATTTTTTCGAGAGCAAATATGACATGAATATCTTGCCAAGATCTGAAAAAATAACATTGTTAGCTTGTCAAGATCATGCTAAATTTTGGCAACATAGCCTTGTTTTATGAATAATCCGACATTTTTTTGATCTTGGCAGCATTTTCCATGATCGAAACACTGGGAAGTTTTTTGGTATTCTCATCTTAATTTTTATTTTAACCTTTCAGCTCGACGTGTGACTGTGTGATCTTTTTGTTTCTGGGCATGGAGTTGACCGAGTTCATTTCCAGTCTGGTGACCGGGTCACAAAAGGTCAACCTCTCCTTCGTCCTCTCTTCTCTCCTTCTCTGCCTACTTGCACGATTCTTCAGTAAGTTTTGAACTATGATGATTTATATTTTTAGGTTAATATTGTTAAAGTTGATGCTTCTTGTTAATTATTAATCATAATGGTACCTAGAAACGAATAACCACCCTTCTAAGGAAGTAATTCAACGGTCAAGCATATACGACTCTTTTACCTCGTAACGAAAAAACCCCTCACCCTAGCAAGGGGGCAACAGTTAACAAGATCTATTTTGAGTTATATTGTATAATACATTGAAACTAAAGTTTTATCCAAACTTGTACCTGAACATTTCTTTGCAATTATCTTCTTGCTTTTGTCATCATTTTTTTATTGGCTTCTTTTTGTTGAGTTTCGATTTACCAATTGAGTTTAAACTATTCAGTGAGAGAAAGATACAATACAGTCTTTAACTCACAAGGATTGCGCACGAGCCCTGAGTTTTATCAAGGCGGCCCCTGGAAAAAGAAAAAACACGAAGGTCAAGATACTAAAATTTATGCAAAATTTCTTGTAAATCGGAACAGTTCTTAAATTTATGCCTGTATTTAATAATTTATCATCTTTATTTATTACATATCAGGTAGCAGTTTTTTTAAGATAAAAAGTGGGAACAAATTGCTATCTTCTAGTTGAACAACCTAAGCATCCAAATTGTTTTTACTAGTTGTAAATTAAGAACTTTTGATTTGCGAGCTCTCACGCATCTCCTTTGTGAAAATTGTTTTTCGTTTGAAAATTCAGGGGATATTTTATTGGCAATTGATCAATAGTTTTTATTTAAAAGATCAAGACAATCTTTGCAGACCGTTTCAATTTGTAATCATAAAAAATTGGCCCGGTTTCGAATTTTTTCTAAAACATATAGCTCTTAATATTAGTTTTTGCTTTAATAAAACAAAATTTTTGGAAATCATTTTTCGACGAACAGCCATATGCTAAAAAACCACATGAATTAACCGGCTTGGCATAGAGAATATAAAATTTCAGGAGTAGTTTTAGAGAAAAACCTTGCTTGATGGATGTATTAAGCCGTTAAAATGAGCTAACGTTCTTCAATCAAATAGTATCAACATGTGATGGAATTGTTGTTCAATCAAATAGTATCAACAGGTGATGGAATTGTTGTTCAATCAAATAGTATCAACATGTGATGGAATTGTTGTTCAATCAAATAGTATCAACATGTGATGGAATTGTTGTTTGTTTCAGTCGTGGTATTGTTCAGCTACCTGCTGAACATGGGAAGAGTGCGCAAAATTAGTCGCCAGGAGCAGTTCATCATGGTATGGGATAAAATATTGGGAAACCTGGCGCAAATTGATGCCTGGATAAAAATAATAACTCAAACCCCGATTGTTTTTCTTACTTATTCCGGCCAAATTCGTAAACGCCAAATTATGAGAGGAGAAAATAAAATGCTCTAAATTATTTTGCTGAAAACAACTACGTTTGTCAACTAGTTTGAATCAATTATTAAGCTGATGCTCTGTGAAGTTATTTTGGGCGGAATAAATGAGAATAGCCCCAATTCTGAACATTTACATGCGATATTCCCTTATATACTAAAACCAAGCATGACTCTTATTGCAAAATTAACGGCTGTTGTATTTTGATCCCAGTTTTTCTTTTAATGGAATCTTTTGGTATTTTTCGAAGAAAGTTTAAAAAAATCAGTTTTTTTTTTGGTTATGTTTAAAAACAATACATCCATGTTTTAATCCGATGGCTGTCTGACTCTCTTTCTTCTATCTGTATAGGTAAATGTATTTTTCTCTGCCTATAAACAAAATAGCACTTAAGTAAAATTTACAACTGCCTGGGATATCCCCACAGAAGCTAAAGCTCGGTTTTCAGGTGTATCCATAATATGCAGGTAAATGGGTAATTGTTCCAGGGCTACGGGGGTCTTAGAGGGGCAGTTTGTTTCTCCCTCGTGAAGTTGTTGGACCCCCACACAGTGCCTGAGAAGAACACGATGATGACTGCCACGCTCTGCATCATATTCTTCACTGTGTTTGTACAGGTCAGCTTTATGGCGGTACAAAATTGAATTGATTTTTTAAATGTGAAAGATAAAAGTGATTTAGGTAACTTCCCAGATGGCATAAAAAATCCCAAATGGTATAAAAAAAAATTGAATGGCATAAGAACATTTTTCTAAATGGCTCAATAAGTTTTCTCAAAAGGTATAGAAAATAAATCTTTTCCAAACGGCATAATTTTCAAGTTTTTATTAAATTTCGAACACTTTCTATCAGTAAATATTTCTCCTTTAATTAGGATCAAACGCATGTGAACATGGATGGGTATTTTTTGCTTCTAAACAAATAATGAGTGGCAACTTTGCTGGCTGAAAAAACTGATCACATGAAACTGATTAATAAAAGCTAGCCTATTTTTAAAAAAAATATCAATCAACAATTGAATGAACAAGTTTATTACGGTGGGCGACAATTCGTAAAAGGCAAAAATGCGTAACGAGCGACAACTCATAACAAGCGACAAATCGTAACCAAGCATTGGCAAGTAGAATACACTTGCTCTGCTTCGCTTTGCTTCGCTCCGCTGCGCTCACACGCGGCACGTATTCCCCTTTTATTCTACTGTTACGAACTGTCGCCTGTTTCGAATTGTTGCTTGTTACGAATTTTAGCCTTTATTATTTTTTGTACCTTGCTCACAAGACGGTTTTTGTCAAAATTATTTTCAATACGATTGTTGCAGGAAACTTATGCCATTTAGATTTTTTAACTTTGCCATTTATGAATGATTCCATTTGAAACATATTCGTAATTTTCACTTATACAGGCCTTGATGAATTTTTTTGTAGTTTTTCAGTGATCAATTTTCAAATGTGTTCACGCTCAACTTTTGTTTGTCAATTGTTGAAAGAAGTCAAGCTCAATAATCGAACTGTAAAAATAAACAATTTACAAAAAATGATTTTAGTTTTCTGAAGTCGAAGCTGGAGAAAATTATCTCTTAATGGAAATAGTTTACGAAAAAAGAGACAATCATAAAGATTATTTGAAATTCAAGGAGTTTCAGATTGATATATTTTTCCTATCGACTTTTGAAAATTGAAAGAAGTTCAAGGTTTTTGAATCATTTTTTCGGTTTCTTTGTTCTTCTACACTTTTTTTTGGCTATGCTTTGATATTTTGTTATGTTCCGAACGGAATAGAAAATAAAAATCTAAGAGCACCTACCTGTATGTACCGGTGACTTTAGTTATTCTTTTCTTGGCCTCAAAATTGTTGAAAAAACAAAACGCCTTGGGAGCGTAAAATTGCTGATTTTGAGAACTGCCAGTTAATGAAAAGGAAAATTGTTGTCAGGGCCTTCCAAAAATCACAAAAACAGAACTTTTGTCACTTTAATCGAAAAGTAATTGTGAATAGGGAGTGATTCTGAAATTGGCAGTTCAGATCAGATAAGAAAAAGCTAATTAGGTAAAATTACAGCTTCTGAAAATGTTTTTTTTTCTGAAAATGAGTTTGATAATGATACCGTAGGTAATGTTTTGTAAGGTTCATGCTATCACTAATATATACAGGCATGGATCTAGGAATTTCTCCTGTGGGCGGATTTTAAAAAAAATGAAAATTTTGTCGACTTTTTTTAGGTCAACCAAATTGATTTTCTGAGCTCTCACTAATCACTATAAAGACCCTATTTTGACAAAATTTTCCGCGCCGCAGGCAAATCTATGCAAAAAATTGCACAAAAAATGCGTTTTTATCCACTTTTTGGAAAATTTCGCTCCCCCCTAAAAATTAGTATAAATTGGCGCTGTATCGGCCAAAAAAGGATATCTCAAAATAGTAAAAAGGGGGACCCTTTGGGTAGGCAGGGGCTCGAATCCCTGAAAAAAAGGAACGTACCCCACCCCCCCCCCCCCCAATCCGTTACTGGAAAAAAACTATTACTTTCTGAGTGATTGGATAAAAAAATATGAAGTTCAAAAAATATTTTCCCAAAAGATGCTCCCCAAGTTTTATTTCCAGTTTCAAGTACAAAGTTTGCGTGCAGTTAGCTTTTTTTAATATATGTTTTCCATCAATTTTCTTCAGAAATATATTTGAACCGCATTTTCTCGCAAAATAACATAAAAAATTGGGCATTTAGTAATTCAATTTGGCCACTGTGGGTTTTCCACAATATATGTTTAAAGTAGAAAAAATCATCAAAAACTTCACTTAGATTATAAGATACCCAGCTTAAAAATGAGCTCAATAAGTTATTTTTTCAATTTAAACAAAATTAATAATCATTCTAATCATTCAAGCTAAGTTATTCTAGGAAGTTTTTCCTTTGAGATGGAACCAGGTACATGATTCTGTTTGGAAATGGTTTGATATCGGTTTCAGTTTTCAGTTCTTTTCATAATAATCAAATCACTCCGAACTTTCGCAAAACTTTTGAATTGCGTTGAGTTTTGCTTGTAATTACTTCTGCTACATTTAGCATTTAGCATTTTTTTTCCAATTTTCGACGTGATGTTTTTTTATCCAGGCAAGTTTCAACTTTTCAACAAGGAATTTTTGACAAAGTTATAATGGCGGATGTTAAACAGACCGCCATTTCTACACACCGTCATAATTTCAAGCCGAAATTACATCAGAATCACGTACATTAAATCAAGCTTACGTAACAATTGCATAACAACAATGACAATCTGTTGTTATGTTGCATAGCAATATTAATTTTCGGCTTGTTGGCATGGTAATATTATTTTCGTTTGTAGGCCCTTCGATTTGTTGGCCCACCACAGTTATATTATATCACCCGAGAGGTATTGTTTAATGTTTGTATTGTATATATATAACCTTATTTGAACAAGTAGCATCAAGAAACTTTGAGCATAAAGTTTGGCTCCTTGGTTTCTTGTTCTCAAATTATTCAAAAATTTTTTAAAATCAATTCAGAAAACTCAAGTTTATAAGCAAGATTTGAAAGCAGATTTAGTGGCTTTTAAAATCATAATTGTTGAACCTTATCAAACTTAGTTACAATATAGACTTAGTTTTGCTAAGAATCATTTAATTTACGTCTCAGAGAGACAAGAAAAGAACGAAAAAAATAATCTTCACAGTGTTTTTAGGGTATCAGCATGAAGCCACTAGTACGTGCTCTGAAGATAAAGATGAAAGAAAAAAAGGAGCCCACGATGAATGAAGCCATCAACTCAAACGTAAGCCATCAAATCAAACGTAAGCCATCAACTCATCTTCATCGACCACTTGAAGATGGTTTAATGACCTCTTTCTGGAAGTGGCTGTCTGGAAATTTTATTTTATGACTGCCAGAGACTGAATATATTTCGGGGAAACTTTCTAACTTTGGGGAAATTTTCTAACAATCATCTACCCTGTATTCAGTGTAAATTTAGGACTTTTTTGGTTTCCAGAAATCTCGTCGGACAAAAAACGCTTAAAGTTTTTATTAAAAACTTTGTCCCGTGTGCAGTCTTTTGAAAGCTACTTACAAAAGTGTTTTTTTTTTTGGTTGAAATATTTCTAACAGTGCGAAAAACGTGAATTTTGGTACGCTTCTGAAAAATTTGCATGTGGTTCTGAAATATTACGCCAAATTTTCTTAGTGATTAGGCAACTTCAGAAAACCAATTTAGCCGAACTAGAAGCTACAACCAGCTACAACAAATTCGAAGATAGTTTGTGTTGAAAACTTGAAAACTTGGTTGGAAACTTCGTTTGAGTCTGTGAAAATCTTCTTTTTTCCCCGAAAATGTGACTATATTTATATGTTGCAGCTGCTGGACCACGTGATGAGTGGAGTGGAGGAAGTGATACTCGGAGGTCACAAGGGGGGCTCCTCAGTGGCTAATCACGTGACTTCAGTGGGGCTGGTGGGGGGAGTGGGTGTGGGGGTGGGGGTGGGGGAGCACAGATGTAGGGAAATGTGGGAAAGGGTGGACAGGGAGTATGTGAGACCGTGTCTGCAGAGTGAGCCGGAGGGGGTGGACGATCGACTCATGAGTCTCTACTCGGACATCATGATCAAGTGAGCATCATTGTATAACAACACAACCCCAACCGGATCTACTTAACAATCTCAATCGCCCCCTTCCCCCTTTTGTATTTACTAAAGAATCTCCACCCCTGCGAATAAAAACAGTAAATTCGCACTAGAGCTTTGTATGTAAATTCGAACTTTGCTGCATTCTGATTGGTCGAAAATCCGCTGTAAGTATTCTACTTAACAATCCCCCCTTTCTTGAAGGTTGGGGGGGGGGGGATTGTTAAGTAGATTCCATCAACCAATCTGTATAGACTGATGACTAAACTAGTCAAGCAGCGGTATAGATTTCTGATTGATAGTAGGTTTTTTTCAGACTTTCTTTTATCGAAATAGATTATCTATGCAGATAGATCTCTGGCACTACGACTTGGTTTGCATCTGAAAACAAATTAATCGGGCTGGGAATTTGTCAGCAATATTAATAAATAAATTTGCGAACACAAATACAATATTAACAAGAATAGCCGGTTACTGTGCAAGTACAACAGAATGTTCCGAACAGTCTCAAAAATACAATAAATTTTTTTTTTACAAATTGGTGTCGTTTTTTTTGCATGTTGTGATAAAAAAGCTGAATAATAAAAAATTTAGGCTTGTTTGAGAGTCATAGTAAAATAGGTCAATTGGAAAACGACGAGAAAAACGAAAAAATTTTTTTTATAAATTTCGAATTTCTTTCAATTTTCTTTGCAAATTTTTTTTTAGAATTTTTAAGTTTTAGATTCCCAAAATTGCTCTAAAAAACACCAGAAACTACTTTTACTTGATTAAAAATATGTTTCCACGGCTGAAATTAAGCTTAATTGAGTTGTTGTAAGCATAGACGGTCAGTCACCTTATTAGCTCGAAGTTAGGCAAAAATCACAAATTTTTAATGTCGTCCGAATCCCGACTAAAAGGGCTTTAATATGATATATTACTCAAGCCAGTCCAATCATTTTTTTGTCTACGTGATTTTGCATGAAAAAAAACTAAAACACACCCAAATACAAAGTTCCTCCCCATTTTCAATGGTCGGAACAAAAACTTTTAATGCACTAAGTCTATTACTAAACGATTTGATTACTAAAAGAGTGCAGCCAATAACTGTGAAAAAAATCTTCGCACCTCTCCCACCGACCCAGAGTGACGGCAGTTACAATTTTGAATTCTACGCAGAGGCGAAGTGGAGCTTCGCACAACTTGCGATACCACACAAACAAAAGCCATTAAGTCGAAAAACAATTTCAACATTTCAAAAATTTCAAAATCACAAAGTTTTCAGAAATTTGTCTGGAACGATGTCCAATTCAAAAACACAATAACTGGCGTTTATTAAGTATTCAGACACAACAATTGATTAGCAAGTAAGCCGGCAAAAGTTAGTAAGACTCCCGTTGAGCAACATTGTTTTCAATTGACAAACTTTTGAAAGTTCCGAAAATCTCAAGTTTTACGCCCCTTCCCCTCTGAAACGACACAGAAGCGTACAAATCTACTTTCCCTTTGAAGCAACACTTGAATAGTTCACTTACTCAACAAAACATTAGCAAAAAAAATTAAGGCGAAAAAGCGTAACAGTAACAAATCAAAACTCTTTCAGTTACAAGAAAAATCACTTACAGCACAGCAAAAAACCATATCAAGGCAACTAAACCGACCAAACAATATCAGACACACAACAATTTGACAATCTATTAAAAGAAAATTTTTTCCTTTTGAAAAAAAAGTTCTGGCCTGGTTCGAACACAGGACCTTTACCACGTAGTAATTTTCTCAAAAACTATGTGTGCCTGAAAAGCTACAAAAAGTTCAATTTTGATGTAAGCAAAGCTATCATATGTTTGTCTGTTAATATTTTGTAAAAAAGAAAACCCCGTGATGCGGCAAATAAGCCGACAGAACATAATCAGACTAACGATAGTCCAAATTGTTATTGAAATGGAATTTTTTGTCTTCGGAAACTTAAGAAGAAACTTCTTAAAAGAACTGTCAGCAGTAACAGCAGACCAGCAGAACTTAAATTTGCACGTGTGCACGTGAATGAAGTCTAGTGATTTTAGTGATTTTGTTAAACAATTTGTTGACTCGAAAAAAGTCTATGTTCCAGTTAGCTAACGGTTGCTTCAATTTGATTGGCTAGAATTAGCTAATCAATTTTCTTCACCATTTCAAAGTGTCTTGTTTACAATGTCTTGTTTACAATAAATAAGCCGAATTGGCCAAAAATCTTAACTATTTTGAAAATTAATCAAGTTTGATAAAATAACCTGCCGATTTCACCCAGACCAGAAAAAACATAGAAAATAGCCATAAAGAAAAAATACCCAAAATTCGACCTTGCTCGAAATCGGCTAAAAATTAAAACGAACGCATTTACATTAACAACACAAATCAGTGCGATCAGTGTTTTGCTCTATGAATTTATGCATTGAATACTACGAAGTTGCAAAATTTGGAAATAGAGCGGAGTAAGTAAAAAACCAACAATTTGATTGTTTTGGGCAGGGGCGGATTTAGAGGGGTGGCCCCTCAGGGATTCGACCTCCTCACCAACCAAAGGGTCCCTTTGGATTATTTCATGACATCATTTTTAGACCAACCAACCCTAAATTTTTTTAAAAGCACTTTCGTCGCTAATACTTAATAATTTTGAGGGGGAGGGGGATATAATAATTTTCCAAAAAGTGCCTGAAAACGCTATTTGTGGCCTATTTTTCAAAGTTTTGACTACGGCGCAGAAATGTTGGCAAAAACAGGGTCTTTTTAGTGCTTTAGGAGAGCTCGTAAAATCATTTTGGTCGACCTAAAAAAGAGGTCGACCAAATTTCCCACATTTTTTGAAAATCCGCCCCCCTCGAGAAAATCCTAGATCCGCACCAGAGTTAATATCAGGGGCGGATCTAGGATTTTTTCGAGGGGGGGGCGGATTTTCGAAAATTTTGTCGACTTTTTTTTTTTTAGGTCGACCAAATTAATTTTCCGAGCTCTCCCAAAGCACTAAAAAGACCTTTTTTTGGCAGAATTTTTTGCGCCGCAGGCAAAATTTTTGAAAAACAGGCCAAAACAGGCAAAACTTTGATCAAAAAATCGCGTTTTTTCGGCGCGCGCTCCTCACTCAAAATTAGTATATATTGGCGCCAAAGGCGCCTTTAGAAAAATTTTAGGGTCGGTCGGCCAAAAATTTGTTTCTTAAAAAGTACCAAAGGGGACCATTTGGGTCGGCAGGGGGTCGAATCCCTGAGGGCCCCCCCCCCCCCCCCCCCCAAATCCGCCCCTGGTTAATATTAACTTAAGTTGACAGCCTCCACAAATCCCCCCACCCTCCCTTTATCTTCTGATTCGCTCAACAGAGGTGTCTGTTTATCCTGGACCCTTTGCAGTTCTAAGGTTGACTTTTGGTTGTTTTCCAGGGAACACCGCGCTCACATCCAGGCATGTCGTCGCAAACGACTCTCCTCAACTTTGGCATCTCGGCGGAACAACTCGGCTCTGGACTTCGGAGAAGCGGCAGGACCGAAGTCGGATTTCTATTCGGACGAGGCAAAAATACCACGACAGTCTGAGATTCGAATTGTTAATCTCAAGGCCGAAAAGGAAGATAATGCGCAGGAATGTTTGCAGCATCAGGCTGTGGTCAGATTCCAATTAGACGAAGAGAAAAATGCCGAACCAGGAGGATCCGTTTCCTCCCAAAGGTTTGAAGTTAATGTTTTCGAAATGAGTTTTGAGCTGCATATGGAGCTATAAAGCGAAATTTCGAACAAAAAAATTAACCAAAATAAGCCAGGGTCTGGAAAAAAGGCGTTTAAGCCGTGCTGGATCCGTACCATTTTTGTTCGATGTTTTTTATTACAAAATGGGGGGGGGGGGCAATAGGACATTACAATCAATATTGTCTTCAAACAAATTGAAATCCATAATTTATCTTCCTTTTCAATTTGGATAACATTGAAGAATAGTTAGAAAATATAACATTCAGGATACAACAGAAAATATCCAGTATTTGATTATAGGCCAAACATCTGTCGGCTAATTGAAATTTTAATTCAAATGCTATGCTAATGCAAAGCTGAACGCATAATGCTGAACGCATAATGGTTCATGTTGTATCGTTGGTATATTAAATCCACTGCGTATATAATGCATTCATTTCACATAGTGAGATCAGCTAAACAGTTAAGCAATATTCTTTTAAATACCGGTAGTTTTCCTTAGAAAGGCGAACTCAAAGTGATAATTCAGTGCTAATATAATTGATTTTTGACAATCTGGTAATGAAGTTTCGTCGTTCAAATTGCTAGATCTTAGAAACACGAAATCTTGACCAAGATACTAAGCACACCCTAATCCATAGTTCCTTCCATTAATTTTTTATGGAAACTTTTGATTAGATTTGACACTTTTTCGTCGGGTCTTTAGTTAACTAGAAATGGTAATCTGAAAACTGTAGTTAAGAGTCAATACCGTAATTGGGTGCAATAAGAATTTGGAGTCGGACGCTTTAGAAAAGGGCGTCCAAATTAATAGATGCTGGGACTACTGGTTGAGCAAGCGAAAGTATCTCCCCCACCATTGAGCACTCGAGGATTCATACCATTCAGTGAATCATTACCCACAGAGTGTTGAACGAAGAAACAATTCTATAATAAAAACGAACTTTGATTAGAAATGACTCGAGTCAACTTTCCATTCCCGTCGGCACACAAGAAATGGACGTCGACATTGCAGGAAACAAAAATACCCCATCATCGGAAAGAGATCCCCAACCTCAAATGACCCCTTCAGTCGTGACTCCGCCCAACAACAGCCGCGACTTCGGTCCCTCGCCCAGCAACCCCTCCCCGTATAATCTGTCGTCTTCTCAATCGTCGGCCTGCTCGCCCGCCGACTCAATCACTTCGGCCTATGAGCTGGTTGCGATGGTTACCCGATTGAAGAACATGCGTCGGAAGGCTTCGAATGGATCAAACACGAACTCATTGGCGTCCAGAAAATCGAATAACGATTCAAGTCCGAGTCGTGAGTGGAAAATATACCCCAATTTTGCATCGTTATTAAAACAATAAATTAGGTTTGCCGTTGTTTTTATCACGTTTTTTTGTCGTACCTTCGACAAAATTTATTGTCAATCAAAAATTGGAATAACTATTTTGCAAAATTACAGGCGACAATGGCAGAAAAAGCATCAGCAATGTTTAATTTAAAATAAATCAAAGAAGTAATTAAGTATTTTCTGTTATTGTTTTGTTTATTTTCAGACGCAATGAAAGAAGGCACTGAAGGCGTTGCCGAAGTCGCAGAGATGCTCCGAGTTGAAAAAAATAATCACGTTAGAATGCACATGATTATTAAACCCCGACTGTAAAATATGACCCTTCGAAATATGTTGAGTTTTTTTCATGTTTTATCGGCTGAAATTCAAAAATTTTTTTTGAATTGAACTTTTAAATGAAAAACCAGAAATAAATGATTTTTGATGCATGATTTTAAAGCAATATTCTTAATGAAAATCTAAAACTGATTCTTATCAAACTGGGTGTGAGCATTATGATTCAATTGTCAAAGCACAAAAAAACCTGATTCGGGCCGTATAAAAGAACAAATAGCCGAGTTTTTTTAGTCTCGGCGCCAGATTCAACTGCTCCGCGGGATGACAATAAGGGGCGACAACTCAGACGACGAAGATGATCAGTTGAATGATCTAGTAGCCGAGGTCTACTTGAGACGAAGAAGGGCTGACTCTGTTTACAACTGGAGAAAGCAGAGACCACAGTCGGCTAAGAATGCATCGCGCACAAAATCACGACAGTCCACGACTGACGAAAAGGATTGCTCGGTTGAAGGTTATGGCGACACGCCTGAGATAATGACTAAACAAAACAGGTTGGTCGATAACGAAAGAAAATTGGGCGGATTAAGGGCATGGGGGGATGGGGGCGGACGCCGCTCCTTAGGGATTGGACCCCCTGCCGACCCAAAGGGTCAGCCCTTTCTACTAACAACGCCGAAACAACGCGATTTTTTGGTCAAAAATGTCCAAAAATTTCCTAAAAACGCCTTTTTTGGCTTCTTTCAAAATTTTGCCTGCGGCGCAGAACATTTGGCCAAAACAGGGTCTTTTTACTGCTTAGGAGAGCTCGGAAAAATCAATTCGGTCGACCCTAAAATAAAAAAATGTTCTACAAATTCGTTCCTGAAGAGAAAAGTACAGTTTTATCGCAACGAACTTATGTGTAAATGGATCTAGAACTAGGAGTCTTGTCTGAAAATATGAAACAAATATGTGATGTAAGGAAAAAGCATATCCCCCTCGTTACACAACTGCCTTTATTATTTCAACTAATTGCTGGAAGGTTACATAATTATTTGCTTCAACGAGGCTATTTGGTCATTTTAACCTTTAATTCAGATTAAAATTATATTTCTTAATAGTTGATGTTGACTTGAGTTGGTGGAAAACAAAAAAAAACTAAATTTGAAATTTTAAAGGTGTATGATCAATTTTTTGAACAAAAATTATCCGAGACAAGGTACAAGCAGTCGGAACAATCAGCTCTTTGTCCTGATAAGAACAGTCTTTTCTTTCTTATTCCAGAAGTATGAGCGATGCGCGCAATACTGAAGCGAACAAACCCACGCTCACAAGATGCAGCGCAATGTCGGGTAACAAATTTTGCATTAGTTTTTTGCTCAAGTTGCTTAAATTTGCTTAAAATTGAGCTAAACATCAAGTTCAAATCATCAGGGCTCTTTGCATAGTTTAACAACTCTTATGTCTGTTCTAGCCTTCGTTCAATTTTGGAAAATTAATTGAACGAAGACTAAAACAGACATAAGAACTGTTAAACTCTGCAAAGAGACCTGATGATTTGAACCTGATATGGTTAACTCATAGTTTTTCAAACTCATTTCTGGATCTGTTTTATAGACTTTGATCTATTGACGCAAACAAAAACGACTCCTAAAACAGTCCAGCTGTTTTTAAATCTCGAGCGCTCCAAAAGAACCGTAGTTTATGTTGAATAATTATTTTAGTTTCAAGAGAAAGTTCAGTTTTTCACCATTTAGATCTACACGGCGCAATTCCGATGAAAAGGTTTCGTGCTAAGCTGAATTGCGATGATGAAACAACGCCGCCTCCGAGTAAAAATGGAAGAGCAAAACAAACTAGATTCAAAACACCCGACAACAAGAGTCAGAGTTTCGAGCTGCGCTCAATTTCTGCTCCAGAAAATGAAAAAACTAGAAAAACACCGGAAATGGTTGTAATTGAAACTCTCCCAGAAGAACAGAACTGAAAGCTGCTTCGATGAATTTATACAACGGCAATAAGCTTGAAAGAGGGGGTATTTATTGGATTAAAAAATTTAAGGTGCTCTTTTTGGATAAAACAAATTGCTCGGAATTGAGCTGTGCCTTGTCTGTTCCTTAAATTCGCTTGGTTCATTTGTTAATTGTTTTTATTCTGATGGGATTTCAGAAAAGAATGCTCCAAATTTCAAATTTTACTATCATTAAAAATTAATACATTTCAAAAATTTTTCCTTAAAAATCTCCCTAATTTGGCAAAAATAAAAAAACAAAAAATTCAAAAGGAAACAATTGCTGTGGAAGAAGCACAGAATATTAGCACTTTTGAAAACTCGAAAACAACAATTGTAAAGACCAAAATCATCTTTTCAATTCAAGTTTTGATCAAATTTTGTGCTGTTTTCTTGATTTGCGGGAAAGACTGAAATAAAGCTCCAAATAGGCATAAAAGAAAGTCTAGACAGAGAAAAAATCAGCAAAACAGATCTGGAAAAAATATTTACCACGCGCTAAGTGAAAATCTAACTGAAAAACAGTAATACGAACTACATTTTCTGTAACAAAATACCCTTGTTTTTTTGATAAAAAATCCTGGCTGAAAGATTTGAAGCCGTAAAATTTTTTGACAAATATAAGCCATTCTTGGCATCAGTTCTTCCCGACATTGTGCAGTGGCTAAAATAAAAAAAAATCAAAAAAAATTTTGCGCTATTTTTGAGCCACTTGAAGTTTAAGCATGCCAAAATATTTTTGCAAGACAAAAAAATCGGCTACAAGCCTCTCTCTATTTGAAAAGAGTTGGGATTTTGAGGAGTGCAATTGAAAAAAAGCGTTTATGAAAACTTACTAATTGTTTTGACCATTGGAAATGGGAGAGGAAAAATTTGTGTTTTGGGTGTGTTGTTGGATGAACAAAATGAAGACTCTGGTATAGGTGATGCTTACTGTTTCTATTGTTCAAGAAAAAAAAAGAAAAAAGCAACAAAATTTAATCACGTTTAATTTGTTTTCTTTTTCGCAGTTTGATTTTTGATTCCTTTTCAAGTTGAATTCAGTTCCTTTGTCAAAGCGAAGTTAAAATCCACTATTGAACAGAAAAAATTGAAGTTCACAAAAAAATTAATCGACTTCTTGTTTCAAAAGTCGTGCTTTTTTTCAGATATTCCCTCGGAATAAATAAAATACCTATTGATCCAGTTATCTGAAATTGGGTAAATTTTATCAATATAATTCAATCATAAACTGTTCTTGAAATGTCAGAAACTTAAAATTTAATTTTGATTTTCGAAATGTGAAATCAGTCAACATTTTATTTCTGTTTCTTTCTGTTCATTGACGCTTTTCCAATGGTTTGTTGGCTATGTTTTTGTTTTCCACGAAAAATCGGGTACCACAAATAATCTTTGGAATGTGTTGAGTGATATATAATAATAAAGTCTTTCCAGTCGTAATTCGAACGACATTTTAAAAAATTGTCCCGGTGTGGAGAAACTCTGGTTTGAAACTTTTGATATTTATTTTCATTTCGAGAAAATGACGCAATGAAGTAACAGTCGTTTTTTGAAGTTTTGTCTTTAAAGAAAAAAAACCATGGTTCTGCTTTAAAGAAAAGTAATTTTAGAAGCTAGATGTAGCGGTTCCTCAGCGGTAAAACTAAATCAAAAGTACTTAATTTTTTTGTTTCCCTTTTTGCCCATTTTTTTCATTTTTGAAGAAAAATGCTGTCGGTTAAGCCTAATCTACTACCTTTTTACGCGTTTCCTCACACCACGCACAAATAACAGTATTCTTCTAGTTTTTGTTTGCGAATCGTAATTCTGAATAGCAACAAGATATTCTTGTTTTGCATATTTTTGTCTTCAAAACTGTTTTGTCCTGATCTTTCAAAGCTGCTAAAAGTTCGTCGTTGCAGTGATAATGATCAATTCATTTTTTCTTCGTTTTGAACTAATGAATTGAAGAAATTACGGTTTCGAAGACAGGAGTAAATTATAGATTTCAAATCAGATTCTGAATGATACAATTTGTGTTTTTCAAGGCTGCTAGTGGCTCGTCATTAAAGTGATATCTTTCCAAATCGTTAATACTGTTGTTATGTAAGGAACCATATGAATAGAATTTACTGTCTAATTTTTTTCAGAGGGTTGATATAAGCTAAATGCTCATAAAATTTTAAAGTCTGTTCTGGTTAAAGACGAATTATTTCACTAATAAAACAAAAAGCTTCGGCTACTAGAAACTTCCATCTGTGCCATTGCCATAAACCAGGCTCAATTTTGAAAATGTAGCAAAAACTAACAGATACGGCGGGAAAAACAATTTTATTTCAATTTTATTTCAATGGCAATTACATTTCAATCAAAAATTAAACTCATTAAGACATTGTTTGAATTCAGCTACAAAATTAATTTCTTGATAATTTTTTATGGCAATTTTTGTGCACATCATTTTGTCTGCAAAACAATTTTTCGAAAAACTTTATTTGGCTAATTACATTTCAATCAAAAATTAAACTCATTAAGACATTGTTTGAAACCAGCTACAAAATCAATTTCTTGATAATTTTTTTGGCAATTTTTGTTCACATCATTTTGTCTGCAAAACAATTTTCGAAAAATTTTATTTGGCTATTTACATTTCAATCAAAAATTAATCTCATTAAGACATTGTTTGAAACCAGCTGCAAAATCAATTTCCTGATAATTTTTTATGGCAATTTGTGTTCACATCATTTTGTCTGCAAAACAAAAAATTTGGGGCAATTACATTTCAATCAAAAATTAAACTCATTAAGACATTGTTTGAAACCAGCTGCAAAATCAATTTCTTGATAATTTTTTATGGCAATTTGTGTTCACATCTTTTTGTCTGCAAAACAATTTTTCGAATAATTTATTTAGCTAATTTCTAAAGCCGATGATCAAAAATGCGCTAAGCACTTGAAGTCATAGTGTTTTGGCTACACATTTATCCACTAATGAAGTTTTGTATTGCAAATTTCACAAAATTAAGATTTTCAAAAAGATTTAGTTTTAGAATCAAGTTCTGCATCATAAATTTGTGTTGTCTCAAAACTGGAAAATCTGCGGCATGATGAATGTAGCTAGCTTTGAAACAATTGCAACAATTGGTGTTAATATGGCGCACAGACAATTCGGACACAGACAATTCAGCCAATTTGAAATTCAGACAATTCAAACTGAGACATTTCAGCCAGTTTTACAAAATGCTAGATAGAAAGAAAAGAAATCGGAATTGGAGCTATTTCTCGGTTTGGGGTCGTTAGTGGGCGCGCTACGCGCGTGACGCCGCTTCGCGGCGATAACTGGCTCTAAATTTCGTATAGAGTCCTACCCTCTCTTGGCAAGCTGGCAACACGTTGGAGCGACTGCGGCGGTCACTATTTTGGCTGAATTGACTGAATTTCAAATTGGCTGAATTGTCTTTGACCGAATTGTCTGGACGCGGTTAATGTAAATAATTGAGCAAGAAATTGAGCAAATAGCACAGAAGGTTCCTGTTAATGTTGCGAAAAACAATCAAAATAGGTGGTAATTTTTCCAGAATGGCGACTGATGTCTAACAAGGAATTGTTTTTCTTATAGCTAAAATCTAAATAAAATATGAACCTCTGATAAATGTGAATCTCTGAATCACTCTATATAATCAATCGTAGTTTTTGCCAATAATTCAGTCTTACAGTCATATAGATCCAAAAAAACGGAGCTTCATTTAAAACATATTTTGTAGTTTTATTATAACCTAATAGTCCATCAATTTTTCCTAATAGAATCCACAATAAAGTTACTACAAGCGTTTTATTTTTTTTTTCGTGGTATCTGATTTAGTGAAACTCTTTTTTGTGTCCTGAACCTTTTTCGTTTTCCTTTTCCGAAAGAAGCGGAACAACAAAAAAGACGCAGATGCGAAGCTCGAACCGCACCATTTGCAATGCAGAAAGCCGAGACGGAAAAAATGATATACCATCCAAAACAGCACTCAAAATTTTCATACGCTTCTCTCGTTTCAAACTCATTAAAGGAATACTGATTGCGGAACTTAAATGCAGCTTCAAATTGGCATTATTGAAAAACTTACTGAGAAATTATTATGAAAAATTGATTTTTTTAGTCGAGTTTTATTTACAGTTTTGAGACATAATGAGAAATAGGACGGCAGCTTACTAGAAGTTATTGAATCAAGAATTATTGAGTCAAAATTTTAACAACACTTAATAGAAAAAGATTTTAAGCCACAAAACAATTGAATATAAAACAGAATCGATTTTTTTGTTGTTGAAAAAGGAACGGAAAAATTCTTTTTTTTCAGAAGTAGTACTTGGTTGCAACACCTTTGCTTATCGCAAGGGTAGCTAATGACGGAAACCGAAAAAATCCAACATAAAAATTGGAATTGGAAATGGACAGGAAGCGAAAAAAATAAAGCTTAAAATTGAAATCCATAGAAACTGAAAAAATTCCATGATAAACAAAAAATTTAAGATAAACGGAAACTGTGCAGGTAGCACAGAATTTCTCGACCATGGTTTTAAATTGAATACAAAAAAAATATTTTCAAATTAAAGTCGTTTTTCTTCTGCGTCGTGTGGTTAAAAGATCTGAACGAAAAATTTAATCTTAGGCATATACGACAGTCATAGTAGAACAGGTCAATTGGAAATCAGTGTTTTTCAGAAAATTACCATAAAAACAAAAAAAACGGAAAAAGTTATTAATTTAAATTTTTTTTTGTACTTTATTTTTTGAAATTTTGAGGCTTCGATTCCCAAAACGACGCTAACAAACTCCAATAAATAAATTTACTGGAAAATAACCAAACTTTCACGGTTTAAATTAAGCATAAGTACGCTTTTGTAAGCTTGCACGCTCACACTATTAGCTCGAAATTAGACCTAAATCTGAACCCATTTTTCTCGACAAGTAGAATTTTTTTTTAAGGCCGTTCGAATCACGACTAAAAGGGTTTCAGTATGATATATCACTGAACCCATTCTGATGATAATTTGTCGCTCTTGATTTTGCGTCGAAAACATGCAGAGAAAAAACCTCACCCATATATAAGTTCTTCCCAATTTTTCAATGGTCGGCGCAAAATTATAATTGTTCTCATCTCAAAAAATTTTCATCTCGAAATTTGTTTTATAATTAACCCAACTAACGAAATTTGGCTCAATCTGTAATTTACTCACTCGGCTGGTGAGTTCTGAAAGAAAGTTTAGCTCAATGAGTAATTTACTCACTCGGCTCTTTCACGCCATTTATATTCAGTTTTGGAACAGCGTATTTTGCTTTTCTTTCAGCAAATGAATGTGAACACAGAGGCTAAGCTATTTACACTACAATACAAGAAAAGCGTCAGGTCGAAAAAATATAATAATGGTTGAAAAAACTTGCTCGCTCTATTAAAATGAACAAAGCTAGTTTTGAAAAAAACCACGCCAAGACAAGGAAAAGTGACATGACAACTGTCAGTAAATCTAAAAAATACCTGAGCATACAACCTTTTTGCTGACTTAAAAAATGGTTGAAAAACTTAGAAGGACCTCCTCCTCATTGAAACTCATATACAAAAACGTTATTCGGTCATCAAACGCTGCAATATGCGTCCAATACCCCAATAAAATAGAAGGCGAGAGATTTTGAGCCAATAAACAAATCCAGAAGGAACAAAAAAATTAAGAAATTGAGTTGGTATGAATACATCGAAGATAAACATCAAATTTAGAATAGGTCGGATAGTTAAAACGCTAATACTCTCAAAATGGGCTGTATTTTCAAGTTGTTGTAATATTTCTAGAAAGCTGACCAGAGATGAGTCCTTTGAACAGATTTTTTATGCATAAAAAGTCTCGTATCAGGTTGCAATACATTTTATATCGGAAGTGAATTCAAACTTGATGAAAAAATTTAATGTCAAACTGCAAAAAGTCAAATTAATGAGTGAGGAGTATATCTTTATCCCAACTTTTAGGATTTTGAACAAAAAAAAAAGTCCACTAGATATAAGTGTCTTCACTTTGCTTATTGTCACTTAATTTCGTTCATTATTAAGAAAAAACCTGATGAACTAAGTTATTGGTGATACATTTTCTTCACAGAGGCGCAGCGGAGCTTTGCCCCCACTTGTAATAGAACACAAGCATAATAAGGCACGCAGGCTAGCTGACAGTATAAACGACGATTGCGAAAGTCTAAATGTTTGTTTTGACTTCGACAAAGGTTACCATCATTTTCATACTTTGCCTCGATTTGTATATGTAAATTATCGAGGAAAACAATCGAATTCAGACAATTGCTAATGTTGAGTTTCCATAGAAACAAAACTATTGTTTTCTAATTTAAGCCGGTACACGCCAATTGGCCACCACAACACTTGTTGTCATATAATATTTTCAAGCTATCAGAATTTTTGATACTCAAAACTTATTGCCCTCCAAACACACGAATAGGGTATTTTATTAGCCGACGAACGACGCAATGAATACTTCAAGATTTTTGTTGTCATAAAATACTTCAAGCTATCAAATATTTTGATAATCAAAATTTTATGCTCTCCAAACTAAAGAATAGGGAGCTTTTTGCCGCCGAACGACGCAATGAGTCGAGTAAGCTGATAAAAAACGAATCCAAAATTTTTAGAAAAAAAAAAGAAAACTTAACAAGACAAATCGGAAATGCTTAACATAGAGGCGAAGCTGCGCTTTGCAAACACTAGCGAGAACACGACAAAAAGGAGCTCTAGAGTTCTAAAAAAAGCTTTAAAAAGTAAAGATAAGACTCGAATTAGTAAAATTTCGGCACCGTCTGTGACTCGAACTTACTGCGACTTGGAAATTATGAGTCTCACACAATAACCACTCAGCCACGGACGCTTAGTCCATCCCAAACAATAACCACAAATGAAGCGAGAAGATGCTATGAAACTTCCAATTCTACAGATCGTGATTATAACAGAAAGGCACACATTTAAACAATTTTGATGAAATTTAATGTTCATTTGCGAGTTAATTTATAAAAAAAAAAGGTTCGTATTAAAACTCTAGCTGCTTATAAACGTAACTAACAACCACTAAAACACACTTTTAATAGTTACTGAATATTTTAAATGCAGAAATGTGCAAATTATGTCGCTTGATGACAAAATCCCAGAGTTGGCAATGATTCATTTGATTTTGCTTAACAAAATGTTAAAATGAAACAATCTGTTTCGATTTGATAGCGCTTGCTAGAAGCGTAATTTTTTAAATGGCGTGATCATTACGAGGCCAATCTGTACACTGGATAGGCGCACTATTGTGTGTCTGTACGTTCCTGGATTCCGGAGACAAAACTTTAAATATATTCCAAAATGTAAGTGGATTACACTTACAAGTTTTAGTGGATTCCGCGTACAAGTACCTGTAACGTAAACTTTGTCGGCACCTTGATTTTGTCGCGGATTCGGCAACTAGCGAATACAGGTAGTTGCTCCGTATTCCGCAAATGAAAGTGGATTCCGCAAATTTATGCAGGTTCCACTTACAATTTAAGGATTAAGCTTACAATTTGAGGATTCCGCAGTTTGCGGATTCCATTTACAGTTACCGATTTTGCGCCAGCCTATGTTTAATAATCACATATTATTAGTTGTTCATGGATTCCACAAACTGATACGGGATTCCACACATTTTGCTGCGGTTTTCCGCAAAGTTGCCCGTTTTTAGAGTGATTTTGAGCAATAGTGTTTTTTCTATTTGTCCGTGGAATCCAAAACCGCAGAGAAGATCAAAAAAAAATATCAATATGCGGATTCCGCGATAAATCTGATTTTTGCCTGTTGCGGAATCCGCTTGCAATTCACAAAATGCAGGTTGGCCTCGTAATGATTAACAATTAAAAAGCGGAATTAACCTATGACACGAAGGTTGACAACAAAAACAGTCATTCAGATTACCTTCAACTTTTTTTGCTTCTTTCATTTTTTCTTTTTATGATTTAATTTCGCGAACACTTAAAATCAAATACATCGATATGCGATTCGATATAACTGCGTACAGTATGATTTCGTAACACTGACTTCTCGTGACTTCTGTTTCCAGTTAACGCAGATCAAAAACTGCCATTTAACTAAAAATGACACCTTGAACTATTACAAGGACGACTATGCTTAAACATGCAACCTAACTTCACAGATGGAACCGGTGACTTTGTCTCAAACTTGGATGACCTTTACCTCCAGCAGGTTCTTCAACGAAGACAAAATGAACTCATTGTAGAACTAATAACTGTCAGGGACTTTCAAACTGCTTCGAGACTTGTAACTTTTTTCAACGCAAATCGCGGCTTAACTCAATTAGACATACCGTCTGATGCTTCAGTAAAATAGCTCATTTATAGAAAAGTATTTAACCGATTAAGAACTTTCAAACTCATTTATTTAAATCGACTTAAAAATAATCGAAACTTTATTTTTTCTGTCAATTTGGTTTGATTTTTTGATAACTGTCGCATCAATTAGTATGTCTGATTGAAATGAACCGAATCAACTAAGGAAACTAACTAATCAACTAACTAAAGGGAGAAAAAGATTGTGAACGAAACGATGGTATTTTTTGATCATTAAATCAAATCAACATGTTAGGATAACTACACTGAAAGACTGATGTAACGTACTGTACACTCAAAGCACTGGAGGCAGGCGGAGTTATGATTTCGACAACATTAACAACAACTCAATCTTACAAACCTATGCTGCACGTATTTGTATTGGTATCGCCACTTTAATAACACTTTTCTTCACCTTAACTCTATTTTATTCTCAATTCAATTGAGACTCAAACTTCTGAAATTCGAATTCAAAATGATTATCCAGAACAGAGGCGCAGAGAAATAACACGAATTCCAGTGAAATAAACATTCGTAGCAAAGATTTATAGGGATTTAAACAAAAAAACTGCTCGAACTTTCAGTACTTTAAAGAGAGATGCTTTTAACTCCAACTCAGTGAAAGATGTTTAAGATATAATAGCAGTAACGGTTATAGTGTATTTAATTTAAGCTTTTAAACGTTTTAGTCTTTGCTGTTGAAATTTGAACTAAAGTATTTTTTTTCGGTGACCATCATTTCTTTAACTTTTCTTCGACTACAGGTTGTTTTTCCTCCAGTTCTCTTTCCTCCTAGAGGTCATCTGCCCCATCCGATCCAGACTGACCCCTCCTGAACCCCCCTCGACCTCCGCGGAAGCCTCTGCCCCTTCCACCGCCTCTCAGAAATCCCCTGTAAATCACATTTTTAACACAAGAACTCGAATGGTGGACAAGGCAGCCGAGTAATAACACACCGAAAATGAACAGCACCAACTAACAAGTTAAAATTTAGGTCAATTATTTCAATCTACACGTTATAACGTAACCGTTCATCAAAAATTGCATAACTATTGCATAATTGCTTAGGTTTATAGGTGGTTATATGCTAGCTTGTTCAAACTGCAGCTTGTCCAAAGAGAAGTTCTTTGAAAAAGATAACGAACGTTAAATTCGGAGCTGTTCAAAGCCGATTATTTGTCACCTTCACTAAGTCAGCTTAGCTATTATTCAAAATCAATGACAGCATAATTGTTCGCATCACAACGGACTTGACGCCTTTTATTTCTTTTGTTTTTATTTAAAGGAATGGCGGACCAGGTTGACGCCTTTCCTTCTAAAGCGTTTTAGGGGGGCGGATGTTAATTTGGTCCAAGTTGAAACTTTCAACGAATCAGAATCGAAAAATTTACAATATGCGAGGCAATTCCATTCCTAATCAAATTCGGGGTGGAGGATGTTAACTTGGTCCGGAGTTTAGTTAATCCATTCTAGTTACCTTGGGGGAGGTGGTCCGGCATAGAATGCAGGCGGTCCCTCGAAAAACGAGGGCGGAGGGGGTGGTCCCCTGAAGAATCCCCGACTGGGTCCCCCTCTGAACATACCCCTGGGTGGGGGTGGGGGCATGGGTCCCCCGCGGAAGCCACCTCTGAACGGCTGTCCACCTCTTGGAGGCATCATTGGATTCTAAATCCATTTCAAAGTGGCTAAGTTAGTAAACTAGATATTGAAACAAAAATGATTTTGAATGAAAACATAGCCAACACACAGTTGGAAAAGAGTCATGGACGCAAAATTGAACAAAATTAATGAATTAATTTTCTGAAAAAACTTCAATTTTTAAATTTCATGGAAAAAAATCTTGTGAAAACTGGGTAAAGTTTTTATTCCGCTGAAAATCTTAAATTAAAATACACTTTCGAAACTAGAATTCGATCAACTTTTTTGTGACCTTTACACTTTAGCTGTTCAGTAGAGAAGTTTGCCCACCTTTTAACAAAGGAAAGCAACTGAACATTGAAAGAATTCAAAAGTCAAACCGCGAACAAACAAAATTGAGCGTGAACAAAGATTTTTAGCTTAAAAAAACCAAAAAACACCAAGAATTATAAAAGACTATTCACTGCGTTCATGACTCTAAACCAGGGTTCACTGTACAGGTCATGATAATGATGCACCCACAAAAACTGTTAAAAATTAAAAGCCATTATCCGTAGCTTCTCTATGATTTGTACCAAAACTGATAAAAAACTAGAATGAAAAAGACATCTACTCACATATCCACCGAACATCATGTCTTCGCGGAAGTACCTCGGCGGAGGCTGCATCGGCGGCCCGTATCCCCCTCGGAACGGGGGAGGCATGCCTCTCATTCCCCGCATGGGACCAGGAGGCCCGCCCCTGAACCCACCGCGCGGAAATCCTCCACCCCTGAATCCCCTCCCTCGCCCCCTGAAACTTCTCTCATCGCCGGCCCCTTTCTCTTCGCCTTCTGCGCCACTACTCTCGTTTGTTACTCTTCGAGTACGGTTGAAAAATCTCGACCCCCCACGTCCTCTTCCTCTGCCTCTGAATCCCCGGCCCCCGAAGTTCCGAGATCTGAAACAAAAAATATTTTGTTAATCCTGAAGCCCAACCTGGAGGTTAAAAAGTTAAGCTTAACTAGACTATGATTTTCTCGCCATGCAAATTGTGGAATATTTCACAAACCTCACAATTAATTTGGAGTATCATAAGTTTTCTCGGTATGGTGACAATTCGTCGCAATCATAAAAAGCAACAACTCGTCGCAAAACAATTTAACCAATATTCATTCCTTAGCAGTTCTTTGAAGCCTTAGATATCGAAAACCACTCTTTCTAAGACATGTTCGTTTGTTTGCTGTGTATTGCTAAATCAATTCAACTTGAAGCTTTCTATTTTGTTGCTAAATTGTTCTGCGAGGATTGTCGCTATTTGAAACGCTATCAATTGCCGTCTCACGAAGAGTCTTAAGTCTTTTTGTTGACTAATTTTACCTGTCGGGTGCGTAGATGCTTCCTTGAACCGGTTCACCAGATGGCCCTGTCACATTTGCCGCTTCATTGCCTTTGAGACCAACAACCACGTCAAATTCAACCTTCTCACCGTCGCCAACACTTCGAAAAAACTTCTGCGGGTTGTTTTTAACAATTGCAGTCTAAACACATTCAGCAAAATTAACGATGCTTACTAGAGTCCAATATTGACTGATGCGGATTAACTAAACTAATTATTCCCATAATTAAGCAACAAGTAACCCAGAATCGAAATAACAAAATCTAGACAACCTTATATGAGAATTTTTTCGAGGAATACTGTTGAGACCACAATTTATTCTTTTTACTAGGATATTTTTTTCTGCGATTTCGGCTGGTTAAAAAGTCGTTAAAGGTTTAAGTGATACTAATAAAAAACCCTTCAAGTCTTGATGCGGATTTCAAAAAGACATTTTAACAGAGGTCAAGCGAAGCTTCGCAAAACTTACCATAAAACAGAACTAACATAGCAGCTAGCCGAAATAATATAAATGTAAAAAAGAATAAAAGAATGCGAAAAAAATCTAGTACCCGGTTGCAATACCCTTACTTATCGCAAGGGTAACAAAATTAGTGTGTCTAGAAAAAACCGGTTCGAAAATGTTGCTCAATTGATTAATAATACTCACTACTAATACTTAGTCACAATTTTTGGAAAGATTTTTTACAAACTTAAGCTACTTCAACTTGAGTTTGAGCATAATTTCAGTCCACTCAAGCAATCCAACACAACGGCTTTTTGATAAAATGCATACATGTCAAAAAAAGTGTCTTATTCTTTTTGATAGTTGATTGAATAATTTGACATTTGGTCGGATTATTTTGTGCTAATCATAGAGCAATCGTTAGTCTTGTATTAAAATGTGGTACTGCTACATCAGGTACAATTTCTCAAACTATGTGTATTTTGCGAAACCTTGACAGCTCCAAAAATACTTCTGCCAATTGATTCACTCATTTAGCAGAATTTTGATTTAAATTGTTTGTTATTTTGAGCTTGTCCTGTCCTTGTATATGATGTACATGTACAGAAGAGATGAAACTTCGCATGCATGTAAGAAAAATTTTAGAACAAAATCGGGCATCTTCATTAGTAATTCCCAGCAATTTTCACGAAAAGAAAATCTCCGTCAAAACTTTTGATTCAATTGATTTTTGGTTTTGCTGCAAATGAAAATCATATGATAGCCGATTGCTGTTCAACTAGCACGGTATGTTCCCACAACGGCAAGCTAACCAAACTAGATTTTACTTATGTTCGATTATTTTTTGGTGAGTTTATTATTGGGTGTATTAGTGATTTGGCTTTACGTGTGGTTATTGAAGGAACCATTTGCGGAAAAGAAAAAAACCCCTGCATCACATTTGTTGATCGAAAAAGCCTTTGACCGTATTCCCAGGGAACTGATCCCATGATCTCTGCGGCAACAGAGTTCCCGAAAATCTGGTATGACTAAAAATATATCTGCACACTGAGTCGAAACCCAGAGTTCACCGGCCCCAAGGATGCAGTGCTTACTTCGAAACTAAAGTAGGTGTAATCTGCATAAAGGATCGGAACTTAGCCCATTGTTATTTATAATAGTAATGGAAGCGGCAACGAGAAACTGTCGTTCCATTGTGCTATGGGATATGCTATATGCAGATAACCTTGAGATATCCGCTGAAACGGAATCTCAGTCTTTTGAGAAATTTAATATTGGCACAAGGCTTTGCAAAACGCGGTTTTAAAATAAACGTGGATAAGACAAAAGATTTGATTCCAGACCAAAAGTGTGTCCTCAAAAACCGGAAAATATTCATGCGCTCATTGCTTAAAGGGAGTATGTGCCAATTCAACACTCTGAAAATCTGGTAATCATTCTTCGCTCTTCATTTTTGGCTACTTATTAACTATGTGACGAAATAACACATTGCAAGAAGTGTATGGTTTTTCAGAATTTTTCCTAAGAAACGAAGGACACGAGTTTGATCAATTAGTTCACACACGGCTGAGCTCCGCATTACTAGCAAAAAACGAAACTGCTTCTAACTCGATAAGTAAACAAGGATTGCCGGTTACTGTGCAAGTAGCACAGAATGTTCCGACCAGTCTTAGGAAAATGCAAAAATATATATTTTTTCAAATAGTTGTTTCTTTCCCGCATGGTGTGATAAAGGATCTGAACGAAAAAAAGGCATACTTGACAGTCATAGAAAAAAGGCACTCGGAAAACAGTTTTTAAAGAAAATTGATAAGAAAACATTTTACAAAAACGTTTTAAAAAATTTGAAAAATTTTTGCAGAAAAATTTGAATTTTTAACCTTTGTTTACAGAATGGCGCTAAGAAATTCAAAAACTACTTTTATTTGAGTACAACTAAGTTTTCACGGCTTAAAAAAAGCTGAAATAAGCTATTGAAAGTCTACACACACGCTCACACCATATAAGTTCGAAAATTGACCAAAAACAAAAATTTCATACCGGTTTTTCTCAACACTGTGAATAAACTTTAGAAATTCTCTAATATCGTTCGAATCACGATTGAAAGAGCTTTATTATGATATATCGCTCGATCCATTCTGACAACTGTTTGTGGTACCTGATTTTGCGTGGAAAACAAAAAGAAAAAAGACTAAGACACACGAATACAAAGTTCCTCCCCATTTTTCAAATGGTCAGAATAACTAGCTAAAGCAACCAAGCAGAAATTCAGGTTTTCACCTTTCAGTCTTATTTTACTCGTCTTCTTATTTCAGACCAATTCGGACAGCATTAACTTAGAAACCAAACAAAACGTTTCTGGTGATCAAGAGCAAATGAAAGCTCCTCTATAAAAGTATCAGTACTTGGTTACAAAGACTAACAACTTTAATCCAGAATTGAAAAACCAGTTTTTACTGTGTGCAGTAAGTTTTCACAACAACTTCAACTTAAAAACAGATGAGCTCAGGAAAAAGACCATTTTATTTAAAGACCATTCATGAGAATGTTTCAAATGGCATCAGCAACCAACAACAATTTTTTTTACTTCACTCTTCACCGATAACGATTTCAGGCCTTCAGAAAAATTTATAACAAATAATCAGAAGGTCGAAAGTATCATTTCGAGAAAAACTTATTGCATTGTGAAAACTGGCGTTTTCAAGGGTCTTTCACAACTTATAATCAGCCAATGGTAGAATCAAAGGGTAGATGCTGTTTTATTACCATGTATGGGAGGCCTATATTTGGGAAAAACTCGTTTTCAGACCTGAAAAGATCATTTTTGTACTGTTTACTGATTGGTTTTTTTGTCTAGGTCAAGAAAAAATTTTTGCATGGACTCTAAGTAAATGTTTAACATAACGGTCCTTGAAAATCCTTACCGGCCCTTGGCATTTTAGAAAAACGCTGACCTGTTCTTAAGTTTGTCCACAAGTGTAGTTGAACCCGTCAATTTGCTACTGATTTTATATGAAGTATTTTTACAACTCTCAATTAAAATCTGGTAAACAATGTCATTTCCAATTTACTGTTTTATTACTTTCCAACAAAAGGTTAAATTAGGTTCCTTTCAATTCGAGCTTTTTTGTTAGAAAAAGTGGCAGAGGTCTGGAAATGAAGAACACCGGCTGATATATCGGAGGCAGAAAACAGTCGAAAAACAGCTAGTTACTGGAGCTAAAAAAAGAACCAAACCAGAAACCGTGAGAAAAAACTTCATAAAATGGAGGCAGGTCATAAAATGTTCCGCCTTGCCAAGCAAATGAAAAATGACCAAAAAGATGTGTGACCAACATGTTCTCTTGCAGCGGCAAAGCTACTTCTCAAATCTTTCAAATGGAACTAATCCGTTTGAAACGGAAGATATCCCCCGTGGCTGGCCTATTGAAGAAAATTACTATCCAGCAAGTGACACTTGCACTGAGAGAGATGAAAAAATAAAGCCGTGGACCAACACGGATAACATCGGACATGATAAAATTTGCTGAGGATTGTGGACTTTTTGAAGTCCTTAAGGAGAAGTGGGACTCTGATCTAATCCCCTCCGAATGGCGTGAAAGTTAAACTGTTACCTTTTACAAAAAAGGCAGTCCGTTAGAACGTGGATCCTACAGAGGCATACGATTACTGGAACACGCATTTTAAATTATCAAAAAAGTACAAGAAAAACGTCTGATACATTTGATTAAAAAATATGAGATGCAATTTGGCTTTACGTGTCGTTATTGAAGGAACCATTTGCGGAAAAGAAAAGAACCCCTGCATCACATTTGTTGATCGAAAAAGCCTTTGACCGTATTCCCAGGGAACTGATCCCATGATCTCTGCGGCAACAGAGTTCCCGAAAATCTGGTATGACTAAAAATATATCTGCACACTGAGTCGAATCCCAGAGTTCACCGGCCCCAAGGATGCAGTGCTTACTTCGAAACTAAAGTAGGTGTAATCTGCATAAAGGATCGGAACTTAGCCCATTGTTATTTATAATAGTAATGGAAGCTGCAACGATAAACTGTCGTTCCATTGTGCTATGGGATATGCTATATGCAGATGACCTTGAGATATCCGCTGAAACGGAATCTCAGTCTTTTGAGAAATTTAATATTGGCACAAGGCTTTGCAAAACGCGGTTTTAAAATAAACGAACCTGGATAAGACAAAAGATTTGATTCCAGACCAAAAGTGTGTCCTCAAAAACCGGAAAATATTCATGCGCTCATTGCTTAAAGGGAGTATTTGCCAATTCAACACTCTGAAAATCTGGTAATCATTCTTCGGTCTTCATTTTTGGCTACTTATTAACTATTTGACGAAATAACACATTGCAAGTGTATGGTTTTTCAGAATTTTTCCTAAGAAACGAGGGACACGAGTTTGATCAATTAGTTCACACACGGCTGAGCTCCGCATTACTAGCAAAAAACGAAACCGCTTCTAACTCGATAAGTAAACAAGGATTGCCGGTTACTGTGCAAGTAGCACAGAATGTTCCGACCAGTCTTAGAAAAATGCAAAAATATATTTTTTCAAATAGTTGTTTCTTTCCCGCATGGTGTGATAAAGGATCTGAGCGAAAAAAAGGCATACTTGACAGTCATAGAAAAAAGCCACTCGGAAAACAGTTTTTAAAGAAAATTGATTAGAAAACATTTTACAAAAATGTTTTAAAAAATTTGAAAAATTTTTGCAGAAAAATTTGAATTTTTAACCTTTGTTTACAAAATGGCGCTAAGAAATTCAAAAACTACTTTTATTTGAGTACAACTAAGTTTTCACGGCTTAAAAAAAGCTGAAATAAGCTATTGAAAGTCTACACACACGCTCACACCATATAAGTTCGAAAATTGACCAAAAACAAAAATTTCATGTTTTTCTCAACACTGTGAATAAACTTTAGAAATTCTCTAATATCGTTCGAATCACGATTGAAAGAGCTTTATTATGATATATCGCTCGATCCATTCTGACAACTGTTTGTGGTACCTGATTTTGCGTGGAAAACAAAAAGAAAAAAAGACTAAGACACACGAATACAAAGTTCATCCCCATTTTTCAAATGGTCAGAATAACTAGCTAAAGCAACCAAGCAGAAATTCAGGTTTTCACCTTTCAGTCTTTTTTCACTCGTCTTCTTATTTCAGACCAATTCGGACGGCATTAACTTAGAAACCAAACAAAACGTTTCTGGTGATAAGAGCAAATGATGAAAGCTCCTCTTTAAAAGTATCAGTACTTGGTTACAAAGACTTACAACTTTATTCCAGAATTGAAAAACCAGTTTTTACTGTGGGCAGTAAGTTTTCACAACAACGTCAACTTAAGAAACAGATGAGCTCAGGAAAAAAAATCACTTTATTTAATGACCATGCATCATAATGTTTCTAATGGCAACTAATAACCAAGAACAATTTTTTTTACTTCACTCTTCACCGATAACGATTTCAGGCCTTCAGAAAAACTTATAACAAATAATCAGAAGGTCGAAAGTATCATTTCGAGAAAAATTTATTGCATTGTGAAAACTGGCTTTTCAAGGGTCTTTCACAACTTATAGTCAGCCAATGGTAGAATCAAAGGGCAGGTGATGTTTTATTTCCATGTATGGATGGCCTATATTGGGAAAAACTTGTTTTCAGACCTGGAAAGATAAATTCTTGTACTAATTACTGATTGGTTTTTCTGTCTAGGTCAAGAAAATTTTCTGCATGGACTCAAAGTAAATGTTGAACATAACGGTCCTTGATAATCCTTACCGGCCCTTGGCATTTTAGAAAAACGTTGAACTGATCTTAAGTTTGTCCACAAGTGTAGTTGAACTCTTCAACTTGCTACTGATTTTACATGAACTATTGTGACAACTCTTAATTAAAATCTGGCAATAAATGTCATTTCAAATTTACTGTTTTCATCTTTCCAACAAACAAAAGGTTAAATTAGGTTCCTTTTAATTCGAGCTTTTTTGTCCCTGAAAAAAGTCAATCTCTTAAATGAGCTAACCAACAACTCCGGATCAAGCGTACAATCCCCCCATAGTGACCTACCGTAAAATGCTCTCCCCAAGCATGTATTGATTTAGTAAATTAGGTCTGTATAAAATATGCATTTCAGACAAACCCGCAAATAAAACTGTTTTTAACATTTGTTTCTGCGGGATTGCACTTGCACGCTCTTTATTACCTAGATTGGCGTTTTAATACAATTTTCTTAATTAAAACGGTTAATTGAGAACGAATCTAGGCTATACTGAAAGAAGGTTTAAGAAAAATCCGTATCTTCTCCCCTCTAAATCGCTTTGTGGGGAAATTGTACGGTTGATCCGAAACTTCTGTTCGATTCAACGAAAACTTCCTTATGCAATTATTGAAATTTGACGTACTTGATGAATAAAAATATCTTCCTGGGTATCGTCTCTATTAATGAATCCGTAGCCATTTCGAACATTGAACCATTTCACGACTCCAGTCACTTTTTCCGCTATAACAAAAACAGAGTTTACTCATGGAAATCTCTGTAATTAAGAAATTCACTACAACAAGTACCAATTATTTTCCTGTCAGCCAGCCCATCTTTGATGTTACTGGTGTTACTCTGAGGTTGTTGATCTTTAACCTCGGCTGCTGCGGTCATTTTGATGTTACAAGGGCCCTAAAAGATATCCAAAAGATGTTTTAATTTTCACATGTACTTTCTCTCTGTCAACAAACACAAGTGTCTAAAATTTGAAACGTTAAAATTTGAAGGATCACATGCTCGAAAAATGAAAAGAAGTTCCAATCAGAGCTGCAATTCAAACTCAGTTGGATTTAAGAACTCAGCGTTTTATCCAAAACAATAAGAAGAGTGAGGCAAATGTTTTTTAATAGCAAAATGAGTTTGAAAAAAAAATTATTTTGCAGCGCTTGGATTTTCGAAATTTCGTCAAAAAAAAATTATCTTTATGACTAAAAAAACAGGTATGCAATTTTAACATATTTGAACACCACATTTCATTTTTTAAATGTGTATCTTTAGAATAGCTAGTTTTTGCAATCAAACAAGGATAAAAAAAATTCTCTAAATTGAATACAACATCCATAATTTTTCATTTAAACGTTTGAGGAAGAAAGTGTTTTGTGATTTTTTAACTAGATGGGTCTAAACCATAGAAAATTTTTTGGTTAGCCAGAAAAGTTTAGTTTGACAAAACTTAACGAAAGTAAAACAAGCGTCGTTCAGAATCTTGAAGTTGCTTAGATTTCGAACATTTACAAATACCATAACAACCGAGATTAGGCATTAATTTATACAGGAGGATAATCGAAACAAGTACATAATAATTTTTGTTTGAAATTTTTGAAAAATGTTGTCGACCTTTTCAAGAATTGAAATTTATGAAGATGAAATTTTTCATCGTGTAAAAAAGCAGTTGCATTAAAACTGTAAACTGATTTGTGAAAAAAAAGACTATGAAAAGGGCTGCGAGACCTTGAACACAACTTAAAATTGAAAAACAACTACTGCTTCAGCCTCATTTTTGTTTCTTAGGCTAAATCAGAATATAAGCAGTACAGAAAAAAAAAGCAGTACAGAACAATCAGAATTCATTCCAAAACATTCCTTGTCCCAAACAACTGTTCAATGAAAAATCCGATTTAATTGAAAAGCTTGACGTGTTTGGCACTTATTGTTTTTGTTCCCTAACAATTGATTTAGCATGCCGAAATGCTTAGGTATATTGCGTACAACCATAGTTATCTAAGTCTAGTAAAAAAGAAGAAAATATTGTTGTGATAAACTTATTAGACAGATTTGTTATGTTTGATGTTTGTGCCTGTTTGTGGAGCGCCCTCTGAGGGATTTTAGAAACAGTTCTGTCAAGTGACTTTATGTGGGGAGGGGGGAACTAGAGCTGGCTTTATTAAACTGGTGGTGCAACGCTGGAGCTACTGAGCTCGGATGAGATTGTTCCTTGTTGTTGATTTTTTTCTAGTTCGATTTCAAAATTTAAATTAATTTAATTGTCTTTTATTTTTTTTATTTGCAGTTTAAAAAATTCCCTCTAACCGCTTATCATGGGTTAGTTCAGTCCCATAAAGTCCAGTCAAAATCCTTTTTTTTAACCCTTACGCTGCTTCAAGACTAGGACAATGAACAAAAAGTGTACAAGCAAAGATTGCTTAAAACCTACAGGACTGATAAATTGGATTGGATGTGATTGTTGTTCTAGTTGGTATCATATCAGTTGTGTAATTATTTCTCTTAGCGACTCTAAGAGAACCCAATGGTTTCAATGTCCTTTATAAAATCTGTTAATAAAGCAACAATATGAATTGATTTAGTGCCTGACAATTATGTTAATACAGCCATCTCAAATATCCGATTACTCAAGAGATTACCAAAATACTCGCATGTTCCCTTGGCGGAAAGTCTGACGGACAAAATAAATGACATCTTCTACAATGTAGAAGATGTTACAAAATGGCAAATTTTTTTATCGTCGTTCTTGTTTTTTTGGAGCAACCGAGAAGAAGTGGACGGAAACAGACCGAAAGCATGATCTCTTTGATATGGAAAAAATTCGAGCAAATGAGGTGTCACTTCCAAAACCCCTTCCCCAAGTTTCAAGTACGCCTCCGAGTGACCTCGAGCAGAGAATAAAGCTAATAAGTAGTAAGCTTGATGAAGGAAATATAAAGGGAGGGATAAGGCCTGCTGCTTCAGATGACAGAAAAGCTCCTTTTTTAACAGATAACTATCAAAAATTGTTGTCTAAGCACCGTCAGCGAGTCAAAATTGCAGCTCCAAATTCAGAAAGCTTAGATAGTTTTTTCGTAACCGAATTCGACCTATGCAAAGCAATAATGTCCTTTCCGAACGGATGAGCAACAGGTCCCGATAAAATAGTTTCTGAAAATTTTAAAGATCTTGTTAGTAAGTCGAATGGCAGTGCAGGACTTATTTTTCTAAAAGCGCATACTTAGCTGATAAACCTCATAGGAGATGGCAAAATACCCGAACCCCTAAGACCTTTCTTTTTTGGCGCAAAGTTTATCGCCCTCATAAAGATAGACGGCGGGTTGAGACCGATTATAATTGGTAACACACATAGACGTATCGCGTCTAAATGGGCTGAAAGCAAGGCCCTCTCCGAGCGACAACATTTTTTCTGGAGACGTACAGGTAGGATGCGATACTAAACGAGGAGCAGAAATAGCTGCACACTCACTTCGAAACCTAATTTAACGCGACGACACTCCAAAATGCACCCTTCTTTTAAAACTAGATTTTAAAATTACCCTTAACTCGCTAAATAGAGAAACAATGCTGAATTATGTTTATTCAAATCGCTCCTAATTGTATAATTACACCCATTGCGCTTATAATAAACCTTGTTACCTTTTAATGGAAGCTCTGTCATAATGTCAGGAGAGGGAACACAGCAAGGTGATCCTCGAGCCCCACCCTTTTTTGCGGAAATAATTCAGACACCAGTCAAACAGTTGGGGTCGAAAATTAACATATTGTATTTAGATGATGGAAATTTAGCCGACGACTATACGGCAGTACTCCGGGACCTCAAAAACATTCTGGAATCGAAACACATTTACGGCATGAGCTTGAACACTGAGATGTGCGAATTTTGTTTTTTGTGACCGACTACGAGAACACAAAATAATTCATTGTGAACACAATTTCGAAAAATATGTCCCAAAATAAAAATAAAAACAAAAGAAGAATTCCTCATTTTAGGTTCTCCAATCGGCGAACTTTGCCAAAAAGAATTTCTTGACGAAAAAAGTTAAGGAGCTTGAAAAAATCTCAGATATTATTGACAAACTAGACGCCCATTATGGTTTTTACCTCCTGAAAAATTGCTTTAGCATGCCAAAAATCCTATATTTTTTGCGTACGAGCCCTTGTTTTTTGCAAAATGATTTTTGGAGCGCTACGACAAATCACTAAGAAATTCGTTATGAAAGGTCACTAATGTGAAAATGGATGACAACCAGTTTTAACAAGCAGTTCTCCCGCCAGCCAAAGGTGGCTTGGGCGTTTCTTCCGCTCGTCTACTAGCTTTAGCCGCTTTCTTAGGAGCGAAAAATGCCTTAAGCGAAATCTTTGGTTTGGAAAAGGTTGATGGAACCTATGATGATGCGCTTAAACGGTAATTTGCATTTGGAAAACTTGAAATGGCTCCGAAAAACAAAATCCCAAAAAAACTGGATAGAGCCAATTTCTAACAGCAAAATTTTAGACTTGATTTTACGACTCGAACCAACGGACGTAAATAGATTCAACGCGTTCCTAAGATAGATTTAGCTCCCAATGGTTGAACGTCATCCCGTGCAAAAACATAAGGTTAAAACTGTCAATCCAACAACTCAGAATTGCGATAGGACTTCGATTAGGCTCAAAAATATGCGAACAGCATAAATGCGTGTGCGGAAAAGACCTTACCAAAGATGGTTGGCATGATCTTTCTCGCCTCAAACGGGCAGGGAGATTCTCTAGCCATTCAAACCTGAGTGCCCTTACAAAGCAGAGTTTATCTTCTTCTCACACTCCGTCTGTTTTGGAACCACGACACCTCTACAGGACCGATCAGAAGTGACCAGACGGTTTGACGATCGTTCCATTGGCTGTTGATAAGCAGCTCTTGTGGGATGTAACGGTAGTAGACTCCTTAGATCCTGGTAGGATTAGAGCTGGGTCTGTTTGTAACCCTATCTTTTTCAACCGCTAGCTTTTGAGATTCAGGGCGCGGCCGGCCCCAGCACCAATTTTTTTTTTGAGCAAGCTTTGTAAGAACCTAAGAAAATGCAATGAGGAACACAGAGCAGGCAGTTTTTTAAAATAGAGAAGCTCCCTGGCAATGCAGACTGCCAACACCGGAACAATGAATCACAAAATAAGTTTCGACGAAGTTTTTTATTAGTAACTTTTGTATATTATATTTTCTCGTGTCGAGTTGCGTTTTCTTATTGAAGAAACGTAACCACTATCGTTTTCAGTTGTAAGGACATCAACATTTGAAATCTTTTTTTTTTATCATTATCACTTCCATATCTAGAAAAATCCAAGGATTTTGACTGGAATACGTGATTAAGGGACTCCTGACTGTAACCTCGGTTACTATTATACTTCTGACCTTCTGATTAAAAAAAGTATACACAATAGTCGTTGCAGTAGTATAGTAACAGTGTAGAGTTATTATTAGTTACAAAGTCAAATTAGTTGCTCATATGTTTGAATACAATAAGACGAAACTATTATATAAAAAAAAGCAGCAATTTAAAAATGAAAATGTAAAACAAACAAAAAATTTTTTCTTCCGTAAATGTTGTAATCAACATTAAATTAGAAAAAACTTGTCAAAACTGAACATATAACTGCAAATCAACTCTTGAAAACGAATTCACGCCAAGTGTTTTTATGTGTACATGTACAATCAGGTTTCGTTTCAGTAAACTAGATTTAGTTTTATTTTTTCTTGAACGTTTATAAAGTAATGGCAAAAATTACGTAATTTACTGGGCAACGAATTCCATTTTTGACGTCAGATACAAAAACTGTTGAGCAAAGAAGCAGTTGAAGAGTGATTATCAATTATTTTTGACTTTTTTATTGATTTATTCTATAATTCGCTGACAGAAGCCTCAATGTTTTTGTAAAAGCTTGCCTTTGTTAGTAAAATACTGATAAAGATATGTAACACATTTCAATTACATTCGTTTCTCAAC